TTTACTTCACTAAAAACTTTTTGGTTCAAAAAACGCAATATCTCTTATGCGCATGCGCTAAATTCTACCCTGCTGCTGTGTAGCATAAAAGGGTTAATTAGGATGATTACGCGTAATTTTTGGCATTTCTGAGGGAAGACTCTAAGAAAATCGTCAAGTTACCCTTGATGCTAAACAGCCCATCCTCCCCTATGCCATCATAGGAGCAGTGGTTGCCTATAATGGCATACTTGTGCTTTTTTTTTTTTTAAATAAAAATAACTAATAAAAAAGTAAATCTGATGAAAACTCCTTGGGTTATTAAGTAACAAAGAATGTATCCATAGTAACAAAGAAATAAAAACTTTTGTTCTTGGTCTTCAGAAAACTGAATAATGAAGCTTCAATGTTAAGTATGCCATCATAGGCACCTTTCCTCTATCCAAAACCAACACAAATATAAAAGAATTTTAATATTCTTATTATTACTTTTATTAATAAAAATTTTTTTTTTTAATTTGATTTAATTTTTTTTTTAATCGAATAAAAGATAAATAAAAATATAAATTGAATAGTACAAATGTGATTACTTCTTATCGAAGGTAAAAAATAGTATAATTCATTGTCATTAAATAAAAAATTGACAAGTTTTATCAAAGGCTTTTGCTTGAGTCTATTTTTAAATTATTTATAAAACTTTACACTTGTTAAAAGCCCAAATAGGAATTCTATGAAAAGATTGTGGGGTCCATATCTCCGGTCATCCACATTTTTTTGAGTCCCATTCCGTTTATATAAGTTGTTTTTTTTTATATTATGAAAACGTTTCCTTGTATTTAAAACATTTCTTTGTATTTTTTATTTTTTTAATTGTACAAGCAGCTAATTTATTTAAAAAAAAAAAAACATCAAGTCTCATAATCTATACAGTAAATATAAAATAACAAAAGTTAAAAAACCGTAACTCTATGTAATGTATAGAATGCAGACAAATATGCATACTCCTGAAGTGTCTCTTTTACGCTAGCATATACCTTGATATATCTGGAGAATTTTTATAAATCGTTAGGGTGAAATGCAAGAAACGAACTTGAGTCAAGCTCGACTTGAACTTTACATTGCAACCAATAGCGACAGAGTATGGGTTTTCTCCTCAAAAAATACTCTGCCGCTATTGATTACAAAGTAATGATTAAGTCGAACTTGACTCAAGTTTGCTTCTTGCATTCCACCCTAAGTTTTCATAAACAAAGCAATACCAAGTGACATCATCCTTTTTAAGATCACTAAGTTGACAATGACAAATCTTCAATCGCTGAGTAAGTTTATCAATAGAAAGCATTATTACTTCAGAAAAAGTTGAGCGCTAAGTCGTTCATCAATAGTTTTTGCCTCATTTTGGTCTTAAACTCATTAAGCGTTTCAATTGTTTCATATTCATAAGTTAATAATTATTCCATAATTTTGGTTTCTACTTAAGTAGAATTTAAAAATTATTCATTGCATAACAACATTTGGATTGAATGCAACTGTTATTAAAGAAATTGATTAGACGTTTGATCTGATTTATTTTGAATTGTGGTTAAAATATTTCAGGAGATATATTTTAATAATTTTGAACATATATATATATATTTTTTTATTTATTTACACTTTTGCCGATAAAAAAAAATTTACAGTTGTAACTTATAAAAAAAAATAATTACATGACCGGGGCTAAAAGAAGACAAATTTAGTCTTATCATTAAGCCCCAAAAATAATAAGATAATAGATATTTATTTAAGCCCCAAAAATATAAGATAATAGATATTTATTTGTTAGTTAGACTTTCATAATATTTAACTTAACAAATAGTGCTTGGAAATGTGTAAAACTTCAAATCAAATAGGCGCATATACCTGTTGTATGAACATACCTGTTGTATGGAAGTTAAAAGAATAATCAAACTTTTATCCGACTTTTTAATACATAAAACAGCATGATACGATCAGAAGTTGTCAACCACCAAAAACGACTCATGGGTCTTGGTTTTAGATAGCTTAATTCAAAACTATACTAGTCTCTGTTTATCGCTTGAGACGTTTCATATACGTGCCATTGATCAATATTAAAGTCTTTAGTATCAATGGCGTGCAACAAATTTTGATTGGTTAAAAGATCAAAATTAGAGCACTAAATAAATTTAGCACACTTAGAGATCCATTTAGGATCTTCAAGTGGGATAAATTTAGCGATACGAAGATGTCATGAAGGTAATAAAAAA